AAAGGTGGACGTGGCGCTATACCGATTAACCGTATTGGTAGAGGGGTGGTGCCCACGTCCTCCCTCGCATGTCGCATGTAACTGAATAACTGTAATTGATCCAGTTATGCAACTGTAAGCGTACCCGGCACTTAGACTTAACCGTATATGCTTACAGTAATCTCGAGATCTACTAGAATTTACTAGAGATTATTCGGCGGCTGAATGAAAACCATATAAGAGAGAACCTGCTCTCAGGGTTTGTTTAGCTCAGCGTTAGTTCGGATTACTGGGATATCGCCGTGTGAGCTTCGCTCTTTAGATACTCTTTGCTTTGCGTTTTGATTAACGTTCTCAGTTGCTAAGAGCATGTGCTTAGAAAAAATAACACAAAAATTGTTTCGAATATGTACAGAGAAAAAGATAAGTAGATAAATTCTGTGCATTGCATTTTAGTTGCTACAAGTCTCTATCGCGAATGCCGTTATTATCGAATGCCGTCGAAATAATGTTCGTAATAACCAAATCATATGATTATGATGTAATGCATTTTCGTAGTTAAGCATTAAAAATAATATTTAATGCATTATATTAATAAAAAATTATATTAAACGCTTTTATAACAGATAAATACAAAATTCTCTCTGCGATCTGCTAATCCATATTCAGTAGCGAATACAGTACGCTAAAAAATACACTGTTTGGGAAGTTTCGTATTGTTCTAGATATTTCAAATCACTTCTGTATCTTCTGTTTTAAGCGCAGAAACTGAACCAGTTTTTCTTTTAATTGTTTTTGGTGAAAATAAGAGTCCCTCTTCTTTTTTTTTTTTTTTCTTTTTACGCTGACTGGATTGTATTTTAAATTGATTTACTGGTTGTTTTGCTCAACAGGAATACGTGTATAGGTAAATTATACATAATTTTCTCCTTTTGCGGCAGCTTTGAGTTAAAGACCACACAGTCTTAGAAACATAGTTTTGCACTTTATTGATAAGATACTGTTACTGCAACAAGCATTCTAAGATATGGTTATGTCATTTAGGGTATGTAATTGTTTGTACCTTTATTTCATGTTTTGCAGCATTGCGAATTTTTAAGCGTTGGGATTAAGTTTGGCACTGCTATAAATAATACTGCTTACTTAATCATTAATCCCATTCCTCTTGAACAGCTTTCCAGAGTCCAAGTGGAGTTGTAGGTCGGCGTTTGGTCTGCTTTTTAAAAGTAAAAAGTTGCAAAACTCTATGGGTGTTAAATGAGAAGATTTAATAGGGATGTGAATGAAGGGCATGGCCTTGGCATCCGTTTCTTGTTCCATTTATTCCAGGAAATTAACAGTGGATTTTGAAGTGTGGTTGCTTGTTTTATCTCGAGCAGTTCTACTGATTGATGGCATTGTGAGTAAAGATAAGGTACTTCATATTTGAAAACTGGGCATTAAATATGTTCCTGATAATATGTGGAGTTGGTCTTACCATTCTTCTGCGCACTCTTTATTTTTAATTTTCCGTTATATAAAAAACTAGCAACAACCATGAATCGCTTTGAAAAATTCTCTTTAGGTTCTTTGAACCACGTTTTAAGATCTTCTTTTCTCTTTGATAATAATAAACGGAGCTCTTTTTATTTCAATCATTTAAACCTAAAAATCATCTACTGTGACAACATTTTTCTATTTTTTCCGGATAAACGTTTTTCATAAAGAATTCTGCAGCACGTACTTGCGTTCGGCGATATTGTAAGACCTATTTCTATTCTTCCACATAAACAAAATTAGATCTTACAATGAACCTGGAGAATTCTCGCACAGGCGTGAATTAAATACCAGCACAGAAGTAGGGTGCAAAATAACCCTTTATTAAATCAAACTAATTTAACAGAAAGGCACGCACTCCGTGCGTTACAAAACACCGTTCACTTGCGGCGGTAACGAAACGTAGACTATAATATAAATCAAATTCTGAAAAATAAAGAGTGCAAGAACGCACTTCAGTTTACGCCTAAGAGGTGAACTCATACTAGAAATCTAACCGGCGTGATACTAAACTGATAAGGCCAAGAGGCTTACTAGCTTGACCGCGAAATAACAACGAAACATGCGCTTGGCTAGCGAAACACGCTCTTAATAAACTGAGATAATCACACGTTTAAATATCACTTTACTTGACTTTAAATTTACATCTTGGTGAGAGAATGTGAGGGGAAGTTGAGAAGCTTAGGAAAACTTAAAATAAATTTGTTATGCAAAATAAGGAAAGCCCTATATGCCGTAGAGAAGATGTACATTATATTTTTTCGCTTTTTAATATTCAAATCATCATTAATCACTTTGTTTACAGTTGAAACTGAGAATTTTAATGATTTTTCATCTTGCCTTTGGTGAATTTGCTTTTAATACTGGAGATCTTACCTTGAAACATTCGAAACATTAATTTTTTTTTCCCTTGGATATGTATTTGGAACAATTTTTCCAATTGAAGCCAAACTTTGAAGCATTTTTTTCTTTCTTGTTGACAATATTACCTTCAAATATCTAAAAACGATGGCCTTTCATAGCGTTTCTTAATAACTAGACGACGAATAACTTTTTTCATAAAGAGCACAAACATAGCCTACCATCCGTTACTTCTTTAAAATTTAATTTTGCATGGAAACAAAACTGTCAAGGAGCAGATGCTAATTTATATTTTCAAAAATACAGTTGCAGTTAAAAATAAATTCCAATCATATTTTTTATTAAGGCAAAATCCTCTAAAAAATGTGCGAACAGCTTCTGTAGTTGTTTCGATTACCCCTATCTGATAATATTTCTTTTAATTAGTTAATGCGCTATCTTCGATCATTATGTGGGATTTTTTTAACAAATGTTTGTTATTTGATGTGCTTTAGATTACGTTAGTGTTTATAAATAAATAAAAAAATGTTACGGACCTAAGCCTTTTAATCCTTTTAATAAAATTAATTTAATAGATTTGTTCTTTGGTATTTGCTATGGAAATGTAAGTATATCAATCTTAGAAATTATGTAAATAAGCAAGTTAAACAGCAGAAACTATTCACAAAGCAAAGATTTGTTCACCCATGCATTTTTAGAAACATGAAGATAATATTTCATTCTTAAGAAAAGAGCATTTTAATAGCAGTTATAAATAATCTAAATAACACTTTCAGTGCTATTCTATATAAAGCGAACTATTTTTCTGGAATAAAAGTTGAACGTAGGACACAAGGCTATTCTGATTCCTTCGAAAAGTTATACAAAAGGAGTTTTAAAATTTTTTTAATCTGCAAGATGCATAACCAAGCAGTACCTGCCAAATTCCGGTATTATCCTTTCTTCAAAACGAAATCAATTACTAAAACGTAAATCAATTCTTTCTCGAAACATATTTGGATTCTTAAAGATTTTGCTACTATCATGAGTCCAGATATAACGCTTTCAGTAAGTAGATTTCAAGGAAAGTGGAAGCTTCAAGAGACGTTTTGGAAAAGTACAGTTGAATGCTGCGAGATGTATTTTCAAAGCTCATAACTGAAACATATTGATTATGATATCGATATGTTTCAGTTATGAATGAACCTCTCGTTTAATTGGATGTTCTCAAGCTGGTTGTGCAGAAGAAATTACACTGGTTATATGTTCTAGCTCCGCAACAGTGCTGTAACTTAGTTTGGACAAATACAGTCAATTCTTTCCACTTCGAAAATCAAAGTTGAGTTCATTTGCAACATCAAATGCTGTGAAACAAATATTGAGATTACCTCAGGATGTAGATGATGAAATGTCTGCAGATGTTCCTCACTTAATTGATAATCAAATTGCTATCAAGTTCATAAAAAACCAGCATTTTATAAAAGCCAAAGTACATAATGTGTGTTGCCATTTTATTCGCAAAATGCATTACGATAAATCTATATCATAACAAGTATGTTCATTCTAATAAATAGTTGGCTATCTTTTCAAAAGCTCCTTCAAAACAAAATCTGAAAAACTCAGGAAATGACTCAACGTAAGAAAGACATTAAAAGTATTATGAACACTGGATGTTATTGTTATAAATCATATTTATTTTCAGCATATAACTGTTCCAACAATTATTGCATGTTTGTGTTCGTTAGGGGCAAAAGACTTAGAAGAAATACTAAAATTGGTATGGTGGTTCATTTCGTTATGGCAAAGCGCATGAGGACTCTCTGCCTAAGAGGAGGGATGCTTTCGTGGAGGACTTTGTAAGGGAAACTGGCTCGTATTTTAAGTGTGTATCTGATCTAGCAATTATTGCATGTTTGTTGGTCAATGGCAATATAATTGGAAGAAATACTAAGTTTGGTTTGGTTTACTTCATTATGGCAAAACTCACGAGGGCTCTCTGCCTAAGGGAAGCGATGCTTTCGTGGAGGAATTTCTAAGGAAACCTGGCTTGTATCCAACTTACACACAGGAAAAACCATAAAACCGCTCTTGCAGCCGACTCGTTCGCAGGGAGCAATTTCTGATCCAACTATGAGTGTTCAGTGACTTTACTGTTCGGTCAGTAGTAGGCTCTCTTAAAAGCACAGCATAGTTAATACTTGTTGCTATAGCAACAATTGTTTTTGTTTCTCTTGCCTGGCAATAATTTTTTGTTTAGTTAATTAACGTTCTGTTGCCAACCACTGTGTGTGATTGCTTGTAATGTATGCTTCCTATGTGACGTACTTTCGATTAACTTTATGTTTGTGAATAAATTAAGCTTAAAATATTATTCTAAAAGACTTTCACATAGTGATTGTTTAGTTATCTTTGTTTCCGAAAAGCTCGGGTTTAATCATGTGAACATTATTACTTAACTTTCATTTCTTATTTTCTTGTCTTCTCCGTCTTTGTTTTTAGTGATCACGCAAGAACTATGCTATTTTATTGCACTAAAAATTATCAACTTGCACTGCGAATCCAATTTGCACTAAAAATTATCTACAATCAGCTTTTGATTATCATGGTATAAAAATCGGTTTAATAAATATGTCAAGAAAATAAAGCCAATTAAATAAATATAATTTTATTGATAATTGTATTAATACAGCTATGCAAATAAACGTTGATGAATGTGCAGCATAACCGAAAGATTGAATTGAAACAAACATGCAAATAAAAACAGAGATACAATAAAGTATGGAACAGGTACAGATAGTAAAAGCTCCTCCAGACAATTTCCAAAACACTGTGTAATTCATCGCTGCTTCATATTCAGTGTGAAAGAAATAATATAACATTAAAAATATTTTAATAACATGCAAGACATACTTCTAGTTCTTTAAAGCCAGACTTGTTCTTCTGAATAGATTCAAGATAAGTTTTTAATAAAACATAAATTCTATCATAAGTTCATATATACACCATCAATAGATATTAAAATCGGTTCAACTAACATCCTCAATTCTTCTCATTAATGGTGTTATCCTTCCTCGAATTTTATCTATTAATATAAAATTCAGAAAGGTATGGTTTCTATCAGTAAAAATTCTTCAATTAAATAGCACACAATCAGTTTTATCACCATCTCAAAAATGCTTTTTAATCTGAATTTCATAACCGAAGTGTTTAATACAATATTGAAATTATGCAAAAAGTTAAATTTTAAACGAATTTCAAATTTATCGAATAATTTCGAACATAAAATTTCAATGATATCTTTACCTCCTTTTATATTATGCAAAATAAAAATAGCTAGTTAAGGTATTTATAAATGAGAATCAAACAGCCGGACCAATGTATGAGTCTTCACAAATTTAAAACTACAACTTTGCTGTAATTTTTGTGCAACAGTGAAGTGTAATTCCTTCCACAATGAAAATATAGGCAATAAAAATGTAGCAAGCTGGCTAGGAAAAATATGAAGTTGTTAAAGTTGCAGAGTCCTTAGGTTTACTTCGTTTTAGGTCCTTAGGTTTATTTTCATTTATTCGTCCTTAGGTTTCGGCTTAGGAAATATGAAAAATCCGCAAGGTCCTTAATGGGATTCGAACTCTTGACCTCTCCACTGCTAGCTAGACATGCTTACATTACATGCTTACATTAGCCATCACACACGAAGGCACATGGTAAGAATAATTCCTTAGAAAATTTATATTTCAAATGTATGACACAATGCGTTATTCAAATTAGAAGTAAGAGATAGTTATTCAGGTATTTTTAGCATAACCTCAAGTAAAGTTAAACTTACTCGAATATGTTTTGCAAAATTATGGCTAAAGCTATAGCATTGGTGAGAGAATTTTTGAAAAATTCTTTTACTTTCGCAGGTTCAAGCTAAATATGGAATAGTCTTAGAAGATATCGGAATATAGGAATAAAATTCTTAAAAGCAGCAGATAAATCTACTAGAAACCAGAAACTACAGCAGACTTCAAGGACAGAGAGAAACAAAGCTCCTAAGCTGCTTTCATCAACATTAAGGCAATTGCTGTTGCCTTTATTGCAATATGAACTGAGGTTTGAGCTAGTACGGAACTGGTACGCGTACAAGTTGAACTCTTGGTTGAACAGGTACTACAGGTGGGCTTGCAGGAACGAAGTCTGCAATTGGACGAGGAGGTGCTCCTAGAGTTTGGATTCCTGCATAAGAGAAAGTATATGATTAAAACTTTCTATGGTGCACAAACAGACTAATCTTTAATGTATCATGCATCTGATAACGAAAGCTCAGTAAGGATGAAGTATTAATTTCATAGGTCAAATTACAAGCATGTATAAGATTTTTAGTTTTAATTGTAATAAAGATTATTTGATAGATTTCTTTTCCTGTTTGATTTTTACTTCCTTGTACAAAGTAAAGAAAGTATAGTAATCGCGAAAATTTTCGGGTATCATATTTCAACGAAAATATCTATTTTGACCGCTATCAAATGCAACTTAAAGATGTTTTTTCGTGACATCTGTACGTAACGGACAGAATAAAGGACTCTTTTTCCCCAAACGGATGATAAAATTGATTTAAAATAGATTCAGAAGAGATTTTTTGGTGGTGTCTGTACGTTTTATGTATCTCGCATTACTCAAAAACGAGTAGCCTCAGAACTTTGAAATTTTGTATATAAGATTGCTATAACATGTAGTTGTGCATCTCCCATTTTGGTTACAATTGGCAGTACCAAAAGTATATGAATATATGTATATATATACATATAGTAATATATATATATATATATATATCCCTCTGTTATTCGGCTCAGTGAGCTCAATTTATATATTGTTATAAGTTTGTAAATTGTGCATTTTTTGCTTTAAAAATTACTGAATTATGATGTTCTAATCTTCTGGTTACCTTTAGTTAACCTACATGCAATTAGTTGTATAATTATCAACACTTTAAAAGTTGTTTCAGTGCGGCTAAGCCTAATTTTTTTACCATAGCAGTCATATTTCTTTACATTTGAAACTTAGCAGAATAGTGGATTTGTTGCCAATCTACAGAAACTAAGCTTCACAACCACAAAGTAACGTTTTCTTTTATTTTTGCGAATAAAATTACGCTTAATCTATTCTGGAATTATCAATTAAGTTATTAAAGTATCCCATATATTGACTCAGTATAGCGTCCACAACAAATTAAGTCAGTTTCTACTCTTTCAGTCTCTTTTTGCTGAATGAAACGAAAGGTAAACTTTCAGTTTTGTGCACCGAAAACTCTACCTTCTTGCTCACTAATCGAATTGCTTGTTTTTGCGAAGAAACTGTAATTTTAACTTTAAATTATTTTTGAATTGTTTTAACTGTATTTGGTGTTTTATATTTTTTTAATATCTTTCAATTTTGAATGAAGATATTTTGAGGTTTTATGTATTTTTGCCTTGCCGCGAAGTGAGAACTGAATTAATTGAACGAGAAATCTATCGATGATGAAATTCGAGGAAATAATATGCAGCAAAAAAATGTGTATAATTTAATATTCCGTACAAGGAAGTCATGTGGTGTACAAATCAGACTTTTCTAGAGAGTAAGATTTTGAATGTTGCTTTGAGAAGTAATTAGCCAAATCCTCACATTGCTTCAAGGCCAAAGCAAATTTTTACGGTTAATAGAACTGGCACAATTATTGCAAATGTAGTATAATAGAATTTTCTGTTATCATTAGAACGGACTAATTCTTATCAGCAATTCGAAATTATCTAGCTTTATCGCTGTGTGTTGGTTAGTGAAACCAGTGAATATTACTAAAGCTTATCTAAATGATAACTTGATAAAGCTTATCTAACTGAGTTGCTTTACAGTGCTGAATATTAAAGCATCTGAGATGGTAACCAGGAATTAAAGACCTGAACTACAGACCCACTTAATACGATTACCAAATATCGATTTATTAAGACTAAAAACTGTTATCCAAAGGAATTCATGTTTGAAGTAACAAAGAATTACCCTTGGAGGCTATGGCAAGGAAATCGAAGACACCTCAGAACAGAAGTATTTCGCAGAAACAGTGGATTAGTTGATTTAAATGCTTATTTAAAAAAAATTAAATAAATAAATTTTTAATAAAATCTGAAAGTTTCAGATTTTATATTACGCCTAAGGGGGCATTTTTGTAGCGTTTCGTGTGTTACCTTTATTTATTAAACATCATATTCTTCGCACTTAAAACCCATACAATTCAATTCAGCAGCAATATCACATAAACAGATTCAAAACTCGGACATCCAGGTGACCCTGTTCGGGTGGAGGATTACGTTCTGATGGCTCAAGGTACCGTAATTTTTTCACATGCGTGACACATACATGCATTCATGCAGATTCTTCATTATTTAATTTCTTTAAATATAATCCAAGGTGATAATATTTGGAGGTAACAATTTGAAAAGTGAAGTGGACATTTATAACGAAACAGCGCCAATGTCGTTTCGAAACTAATAACCTTTTTGGGATACCACTCCTTAGGGCTGATAAAATAAAAAGTAAAATAAAATAAAATCCTCAGATTTTAATAGTCACACAAAAGGGTTTGTTAAAGTTTTTCAACATCCTCGCTGAGCTCGTAGTCTGCTTTTGCACTTACTCCTACTAACCCATTTCTTTTTGTCTTATCATTAAGCATAATTTTCGCCGCCTAACGCCATAAAAAATTCAACAACAAAATTACAAAAAATTTAAAAGCAGCATGCGTTTAGAATTCATAATGAAGTGTTAAGAGTTGAAATATATTTTTAAATTTTTTTCAGTATTTTCCAAGTTTATCATTATCATTTCAATGTACAGTTTTCTAAGTAAGATGGCTTGCAAAAATTTGTTTGTCTATTTATTATTAACGTTTTGTGTGTTAAATTTACTAATTAAATATTATGTTCTTCGCAATTACGTCACATAAAATTCAATTGAATAGTGAAGGCATAAAATATTTAAAAGCAGCATATCTATAGAATTTCCTACATACAGTCTCTCGCGCTGGGAATAACAATTTTTTCACCAATTAGTATGCGATCAGCAGTATCAGAAATTTCATAAACAAATTATACGTTAAATTATACGTACCCCCATATCCATCATCGGCACTGGAAGAGACGGTGACATCAGCAGGGCTTAGGTTGCTAGTGCCTGGTTCATTGGTGATGATATTTGGACGGAAACCCAATTCATCAGCAACGTATTCTACGGTTCTTGAACGACCATCTTCGTCTACCACAGAATACGATCCGGATACTCGTCCATTACCGTCTCCAGATTCTTGGTGGGAGCTACCGCCACCGATAGCTTGCGAGCTGTAACTGAATTGGTAGGGGTTGGGAATACCGTTATAATCCTGTGTATAAAATGTGTTAAAATTCAGTTTCACGAGAAAAGTACTCTGGTAAAAAAAAAACCTAATTTTTTTAATTATTTTTATTAATTTTTAGTTTAAATAATCATTTTTAATGTTTAATTGTAAAATATTAATAAGCCACTTCCAAGTAGATAAAACCACTGAAGTAAAACTTTATTAACATATTTTCCTAAAATATAACTTGATGGTTAACTTTGTTGGCGATAAAATGTAGGCGAAGGCTTTATAATTAACGTGTTAATGCTCAAATTCATAACTGATATTTCAAGCAGCATGTAGTACATCAGAGCCGAAACTGAAGATTTTCCTGCCTAATTCCTCTGGTAATAATTAGCTCTAACTTTATGATAGAGCTCTCGCCTGTCCTTTACTGTTATCATCTAAGAAAAGTTCAGACCTTGCTTTTATTAATATATTATTATATGAATTATACAAATCATAGCTCTAATTGAACTGAGAAGGGTATTTCTTTTAACGGAAAGGAACGTTTTTACCATTTATTCTTTTGACACTATTTCTAATTGAAGTGCAGCTTAAGGAGAAAAAAAATTTCCTAAACCTCCATAAGGAACTCTAATAATTATTCCAGAATCATTATCCACTACTTTTTTTTTAGTTCGAGCACCACTATAGGGACATTAGGCAATTTTTCAAGCAGCAGATGTGAAAAATGAGCAGTGCCCTCGCCGGGACTCGAACCTCGGACCTCTCGAATACACGTCGAGTGTGCTCACCATTACACCACGAAGGCATGCTAAGAAAGCCAGAGAAATACCTTATAGTAGATGTAAAGTATTAAGATCACTGTGCACTGTCAATTAAACTAATATTTACAGGAAGATGTTCTTGGGTCTTTCGTATGAACATCTTCAAGAAATACTTTCTGTAGAGAACTAGCTTATAATTAAATTGCATTAAAAAAAAGTCAAAAAAGAAGACTCCACGAGAAAGAGTATCTCCATTATAAAACAGATATACTAAACACTATCTGTTTTACTATCTGTTTTATACATTATAAAACAGATATTGTTCAAACACTTAAAAAAAATTTAAAATGATGTGTAGAGTCATTGGATTATTTCTGAAGCAAAATTACGTGAGAAATCAATGCCTTAGCAGGGACTCGAACCTGGACTTGCCGATTGCTCTCCGAGTGTGGTAACCGTTACATCACGAAGGCATGCAGAACGGAGGCAGAAAATTCCTTATAAATGAATATTATAAGTCAGCCATTTTATTATTTTTCTATTTTACAATAATAGTGTTACCCCTATTCTTATAGTATTATTGTTATGAACAAATAATGATGCCCACATTATTTCTGTTATTTTCATTATTCTGATCGGAATCAGATAAGCTGTATAAATTCACCATGGCCAAGTGGAAGATTAGAGTAGTACTTGTGGCTAGCCAAGGCCTTGGTAGTAGTGTGACATTTAATCAGTTTCATTGTAGTTTTCATAAGGAACACCCTGGAAGAGACGCACGAGACCCTCGAACAAAACCCGAAAGTCTCGTGACCCCTTCATCTGCTTTCAACCTCTCAAGACACTTACCTTGACAAATTTTAAGCACCGATGTAAACATATGCAAATATTCATGAATTCCCTATAATTAATGGCATTACTTCGCTTCGTAATTGTAGCGAAGCTCAAGCTAGAGGTATTGAAAATCTTATGAATATCCACGTGTCTATTACCTTAGCGTTAGTCATGTAACTTGAGCTTCATGGTGACAGTCACTCGAATTTCTCGATCATATCACAATTTTAATCGGTGATGAAATCTGAAGATATTTTACCCTCCTTTTCTATTACCAACAACCTCTCGATCGGATTTCTGGATCGATGAATTTGAAGTGTCTTTATGACACAAACATACTAATAAATAAATTGCCATGCCATATCCAGGATTTTAATCCAAACGTTTCGGTAAGAAACATGTTGATTCTGTAGTAATTAGCAAGGCAATCGCATTGGCCTGATTTTTGTATTGTTATACTTTAAACAAATATTTACTTTTCTGCTTTTAACTAAAAGTAAATCATAAACAAACGGTAATCTAAGTGTAATATTTTATTCCATTTCCTAATATCTTGGGGTTGATGTTTAACCATTCACAGTCTTAAGATACCTAAACAACTGTTTCTTGTTCGCGATTTGGCAGTATATTTCTACTTAGAGTGGACAGATAATACTAAAATTACCTGAGTGTGAATTAACGCTAACTATTAAAAGTTATCAAATTCTGATTTTGCTCTGAAAATGCTGAAATAGTTTAAAACTCATAATTATCACCTAATTTGTATCTGCCACGGCTGAAAACAAACTCTTGTTTGACGTAAATATTTTAAATACTCACCTGACGGTATTGTGCATGCACCAGGAAAGCAAAGGAAACGAAAATGAGTGCCTAAAAATAAACAAAAGGAATTAAAATTTATGTTAGTTCCTTTGTGGCATCATAAATTCAAATATATGCTAAACTGAGTCCCTCAAAACTTGATAATATAATTAAATTTCAAATTAGTGGTCACTCGAGGGATCAAAGCTCTTTTCGGTTGTAAGAGAGTGGATAGGCATGCTGCATCTGAGCAACCCAATCCAACAATCACGTGCAGGTAATTAAAATTAATTATTATATCTCCATTGGGAATTAATTATCCATGAACGATTCTGAGCTTCAGCATTATCTGGAAGCGAGAAAATATCTGTGTAATGGTGTGTCAAATGCACTCTTAGCTATTATTTCAAGCTAAACTCGTTCCAGTTGTGTTTAGCGTCACTGGATGGGGTTTTCTACCTTCCCAATTATCCTCGTTTAATCACAAGTGCGATTATGAAATTAAGGTACCAAATATGTCTGAAACCAAGGATGGAATATGCTACCGCAGAGCTATCAAACCCCATTTCGTTCCAGTATTTTATTTAACATTAATACTAGTTCAGAATTCTAAACGCTTCTTAAACTGCGCAAAAAAGTGGGACACTTCTATAGCTCCCGTTCTACTCCGCCGATTGGCGAAATTCAAATTGCATTTTTCATGTCTCGAAAGCGCGTCTTAGGTATGTATTAGATTTATATAAAGCAGTGTTCTAAAGTTGGTATTTTGACACAAAATCGGACTTTTTCTGGAATGACATGTCAATTGTTTTCCATATTTCAATTCTACAACTCAGATTATGCTTAAATATTAAATCTTGTAATTTTTGGTGAGAAAATTAACAATTTATCTTGGCGCATTTTTCTCAGTTTGCGCCAAAAATAATTCACTTGACGAATTTATTAATTTATAGCAACCTATTTTCTTTTACTTTTTTTCATTGTACACGAGCGGAATAAAGGTCGTCGTTCACACATTCAAACAATTTTAACAAAGTGCGTAAATCAAATTTGCGGTATTATCGCTTATAACGAATATGGGAAACTTCAAAACGCGCCAAAATGTAAATTCACGTATATCTTAGGAAATTTCGAATAAAAAACTCTAATTTTTTGCAGGTGCTCCTAGAAATATATCTACTTTAAAAAGATGTTAAACATTTAATAGGTTATAATACGAAACTGTTTTTGAAAAAGTTTCAAACAATATTTTAAAATACAAATTTTTAAAATAAATTATAAAAAATGTGCGAATTATGTTTGTATTAAGCTAATTTTTGAATTCTGGAAGAAGGAATTAATTAAGTTTAATAAGAAAAGAGATATTAATAAATATATAGCAAATTCAATTAACATGGAGTAGCTAAAATTTTGAGAGCTAATTTTTTTAAAAACTACTCGTGCGATGTTTATAAAACTTGGCAATTTAGCATAACTGGAGTCGTAGAAACGAAATATGGAAAAAAATTGGCATGCCATTTCAGAAAAAGTTCGATTTTGTGTCAAAATACCTATATTAGAAGAATGTTATATATAAAACTATACATATAAAATACAATTGCATTATTTACACATAATATACAATTATATTATATAAGCGAAAATTAATTTATTTTATTTGAAAGAAGTGATTATTTTTAATATAATTATGTTATTCAATTACTCTTCAAAGCTTCCTTTTAATTCAATATAATTATATTTAAAAACTAAAAAATAGACAGTAGACAAAATAAATAAAATGTGTTTATGGAAACTCCAGGTAGTTAAGAAAGATTATTAATTATACAATTAGCTTAGCTTAGCTTGAAAATAATGGATAAATATTTGCATATTCAAACTCTTGACATTTGAAAAGGATTATAAATCTATTGTTATTAGCTTACCTTGAGCATAATGGATAAATATTAATTTCCACTGTAGAAATTTTGGAGAGAACTGACTGCAGAAACAGTTCTGAATTGTACACTTCTCGAAATTTCGGCCGTTTATATATCCACAACGAAGCAACATGTCTTCCTTTTTATTATATTTTTTGTTTACAAATAAGAAGTTACAAAAGGAGAGAAGAAAAATAAATGTGTAACAGTTCCTTTGTTGGTATTGCGAAAGCTCAGATTTTTAAATTTTGGAACAGAAGCCACCTTATCATGAGGTTTAAATGGTTTAAATGGTTTAGGTTTAAACACATATGGGACGCAAGGAAACAAGTATAAAAGCTTTCACTCTCATTCTCGTATACGTGATAGCAAATAAAAGTGAAAAATGAGACTGATCCCCTCATTTAACTCGGGGTGATTATAATTCAGGATTCGTGTCAAATTATTTATGCAGATTTAAGCATATGCATACAAAGCGGCAAGACTTCTGGGTGTATTATAATTTAACGTTTATCTTACTTTCGATGCACCTTTAGTTTTCTAATTAGCTCAACGAAGTACGCTTAATTTTCTAGCTGCAAATTAAACTCGATGTTTTTGTTTCATAAACCCTATGAAACTTTGTTTCATAAATCTTAGACATATTTCCTGGGAAAATGCAAGCGTGGAGTTTGTTTTATCGGTTAATCCATATAAGGAAAATCTATTAATTTTATATTTGCAGTATACTTATATTATTATATTTGTGCGAAGTGTTTATAAGATTTTACGCCACGGATGTTTAAGAAGTGAGTGGGGAAAAACATTTATGGTTGTCTGAAGTAAATTCAGCAATCTACAACACCCATAACTTCCTAATTGCAGCTTAGCTAGTTCTCCAAAGAAATATCTAAATGAACAATACAAACATTTATAACAAAATCCAAGAAATCTGTGAAAATACCTTCCCAATATGATCTGCAAAACCCGTCTTTCATATAAATTGACAGGATTAAAACAAATTGTGTTTTCAGAGGCATTAGACGAGAGGATTAAAACGGAAAATGAAACCAATTACTGACCATTAATTTCAAGTAAAAAAATGCAGAATACAAAACAAAAAACAAAAAAAAATGATTCCCGAAGTTACGTGTTGGCATAAATATCATTCATATAATAAAGACATTTATGACACCTCATCACTAGTAGCAAAATATTTAAATATCCATAAATCCAACTTCCCTGAAATTTGCTTTCAATTTCTGCTGCAATCAGGATGGCACTCTCTCAACCCTAAATGAAATTCTCAGTCTTTCTAAAGGATGACCTAGCCAAAGATTCTCCCACTCAGTCCGTAAATGAAATTCGGTTCTGAAAACTAATGATATGCCATTCTCAAAACAGAAATCAGCCGCCGTATCTTACATATAATATGAAAGACATAAGAAAATACGATAGCTGCTTTAAAAATAATTGGCGAAAATTATTTTTAAAGCAGCTATCGCTCAAATTAACATTCTAGATTTGGTGATCTCTTCCTAAATTCATCTGTTCTCCCAAATTCGAGAATCTTCTATATTTCTCATTCAATTAATTCACTTCTCACTTCGTAGCAAGAAATAAAAACCGAACAGAAAAATATAAAATACCAAATATAGTTGAAACAATTAGAAAAACAGTTTTTATAATTAGAATTTCTATGCAAAAACAAGCAATTTGGCAAGCGTGCAAGAAGACAGATTTTTTGGTGCACAGAACTGAAAGTTGGCTTTTGGTCCTGCTCGGGGAAAAGATACTGAAGGTGCAGAAATTGAATTCACTATTCTGCTAACTTTCAAATGTAAACAAATATGGTTGCTATGATAAAACGATTAGGCTTAGCTGCACTTAAACAACTTTTAAATTGATGATAATTCTACAACTCTTGCCTGCAGATTACCTAAAGGCATAAAAACCGTAACTGGAAGATAAGAATAACATAATTCAATCATTTTTAAACCAAAAAATGCACACAATTTACTAACATATAAGAATAAAAAAAAACTGAGCTCACGGAGACGAGTAACAAAGTGGGTACATATATAGTTATTTACATACGTTTAGTGCGACTGATTGTAACCAAAAAGGGAGGTGGACCACTACGTGTTATAGCAGTCAAAATTTCAACGTTCTGAGACTACTAGTTTTTCAGTTAAGCGAGATACATACATATATATGTACGTACAGGCTTCACGAAATGAAATCTCTTCTGAATCCATTTTAAATCCTTTTTACAATCCATTTTGGGAAAACGAGTCCTTTATTCTGTCCTTACCTACAGATGTTATGCAAAAAATTCATTAAATTGCATTCGATTGCAGTCAAAATTGATATTTTCGTTGAAATATGACACCCGAAAATTTTCGGAATTACAATACATCTTTTCTTTCGTACAAGGGAGTAAAAATGCAAACTTTATAAGAATTTATAAAGAAAGGTTGAGAAAATGCGGAACTGGAGCTTTCTAAGTAATCTAGAGTTTACCTATTACGGTACATCGTGCAATCCCACCGTATGCCCCGCATCCAAGTATTTATTAAAAATAATGATTTAGGACATAAAGAGATTACAATACAGCCTCAATACAATTTGAAATTTACAAATTAAACATCTGTTTTAGTGTATCAAAAATACCAGATAAACATAATTCGTATACGAATAAACATAATGAGATAATTATAATAAGTACTGGGAACACAATGTTATAATGAACTGTAGTAATAATATCAAAGAGGTAGGTGTCCATGGGGTTATTTTAGTTGTAAAAAAAAAAAGTTAATACATTTTTCAAAGCTCAAAACTGTAGTTTAATTTGTACATATTCACAGGATGTAAAGGTTCACTAAATTTATGCAGTATGATAATGGAATTTTGGCAAGAAGAGAATTTATGTCGTAAATCTATAAAGATAAAAGTAAAGGATTTTTAATCTCTAAAATAGCTGCTTGGAAGTCAGATTTTATGGTAAGTGGAGATCGTTGAGATTTTTGAGAATGGATATTTCAATCGCTGCTTTTATGGCTGACAATTCCGCTTGTAAAATACTATTAATATGATTAGGGAGATGACTTTCCCATTTGATGATATTTGAAGGGGCAGTTTGAGAATACACTGCTGAATCAACTTTTCCTTCAATTTTTGGATTCATCGGTATATGCAATTGGAGATGAACTACCTGTCTTCGATCAGACATGGGAAATTTTTAATTTGCTGAAGCGAAGCGCTGGATGAATAAGATTGGGGTAAATTTTCTTTTTATAATTGGATGGCAGAAACGTTTGTTTGTTAAATTCTGCAGTTTGGTCAAGTTGAAGAACTTTCATGTAGGTGCTTTCCATTTTTGGCTGATTGATAGTGGAAGAGTACTTAAGCGCCAGGTACGTTCAGGCTACAACAAACGAAGGCGGTTATTCATCAAGCTTAAATTGAGGCTGTTCACAAAGATCATGTTTAGGACCATTTCTTTGGAACCTCATAGCGGATTCTGCTCTCGAACTCTTCAACTACAACAAAGACATCGAAATACTTGCCTACGCGGACAATTTCTTGCTGATAGTCTGAGGTCACAACAGACGAGAATATGAAACGTGTGCACAATATGCACTGGATAAATTTGTCAACTGAGCAGGAGATCACAAACTCGCAATTTCAGAGGCCAAAATACAGGGACTAGTGATAAACTATGGAAGAAGATATAATCGCATCCCAGGAATTAAAATAGGCGGTATGAACATTAAAATCATTCAATAGCTAAGATACCTAGATGTAATTATAGATGACAGACTCACCTGTCACCAGCACATTTCCTTAGACCGACGCAACAACCAGTTTTACTATGCATCTGTAGGGAATACCGCGCATCCCCCACTAATGCCCTGAATGTGCTAGCTTAGTTACCCACACTTCATCTCGTGATACAAACAGAATGTGCAGTTGTTCGGACACAGAGATTAAAATGCAACACAACACTGTTTAACTGACATTATTTTCACAGAGCTTTTAAATTGAATATCACGTCAACAACCTGGCACCCAGCGGAATTTAACATTCAAGTTGACATGAAACCCTCGGCAGCACTGGAAAATCATGCTTTGTATACAGATGGCTTCAAAGGAGACCAAGGTACTGGCTGCGGTTTTTGTGAAATGCTAGGGAGCAATGCAATCCAAATCCGGTCAAGAAGACTAAGTCCCGACAATTCAGTCTTTCAAGCCGAGCTAGTTGCTCTTAGAGTAGCTGTACAATTCATCAAACAGAAAAGCCCATAATAATATATAGTGCCTCAGCCTCCAGTCTCCAGGCTATCCAGGGTCAACGATGCAAATTCCAGATAGTGAAAGAAATTCAGAGACTACTGCTTTCCTTGCCGGAGAACAAGAGACAGAAACTCAAATGAGTTCGTGCACATGGGCTTTTTGGTAATGAAAGAGCTGATGAAATAGCAAAACAAGTAACCATGAACCCAAAAACTAGAATCCTCTTCATGCAAGCCCCATGTTCACATATGAAGGCTGCAACAAATTGTCAACTCATGGTACAGTGGTAGACTATCTGGAATGAGGACCTGACGGGAAGAAAAGTGTACAAATACATACCTAGAATCATCAAGGAACTCAAGAACGAAACAGCGAAGTTAACGCAATTTCTCACTGGTCAAAGCCCTTGTTTGAAATAGTTAAACTGCTTCGGACTTCGGGGCAGTGATGCATGCGTCTGCGGAGCAGCTCATTATATCGTAGATTTCAGATCTTACATTATGCCTCAGATCATTACATCTTCGATTGCCAGGAAACAGCCAGATTTCAGTTTCGGAAGACAGCTAATGAACATTGCTACGCTTGAGCTAAAAACACTTTTAATAACCTATATGCCATTAAGCGTATTAAGAACTGCACTAACATTTCACTTCTGATTTCCAATAATTCGGAGCCATGATACAATTCGCGTAGTGCCGTGGCTGCATGCCGTGTTGCCTTCCAAATTTTCGGCATTTACATAGAACTATATTCACTTATCTTCTCATCTCGTGCATGTTTTCCTGTGTATTCAAGTTCGTTCCTCAGCCGCCCTTCACTTTCTATTTTATTTTTCTTAATT